TGTGCCCTGAGAAACTGAAGAGCGCTGCTGCCTCCTTCTGCTGTTTGATGAACGCAGCCATAGCAGCAGAACTGTGGACGGCCTCCAGCTGGGATCGGAGATCAAAGATTTCCACCTGTCCCTTGTCTGACCACACAGCGGCTAATGACTGCTCTCCAACCTGAGTCACCTGGACGCCAAGAAGCAAAATTAGTCGAATCATCAGAGAATTAAGAAAAACTGATGCACAAGATACTGATTTTATTTACTTATAAACGTCTGCATACCCTGACTCTGTTAATCCCCCCATAGTGGGGCATCATGGCCAGTTCCATCTGTGGTTTCTTTTCTTCATCCTCCTCCTCTTCATCACTTTCCTCATCGCTGCTCTCTTCCTCCTCTTTGTCCTTCTCTGTTCCATGAAGGTTATACATGCGCATGACCAAAAGTCTGCCAAAAAACAAAAAACAATTAATTAACAATTAATTTATTAGCATTGATTTCTGGGACATACCCCAGTCCAAAAAGAAAAATCAAACTATCCTGCATCAATGTGCTTCATCTTTGAGTGCTTGAGATTTTCCAATAACCTTTAATTGACCACTGAAGTCTCCACCTAAAGGAGACCTTTCAGGGGAACAGTACGAGAGCTGACATCAGAACAAAACTGAAACTGTGCATCACAGGAAAATCCAAACAACAAACATATAAAAACAACATTGTGGTGTGGTCTATAGTGAAGAGAGTCAATGCTTTAATGTTAGCATCCAAAAGAATCTTCCTTTAGACATTAAAGAGTTTGCTTTCCTCTGCTATAAACAACACATTTGGTAATAATAACAATAAACATGTACAACAGGGAAAATAAGGGGAATTTAACATTACTACACATGGAAACGTGGCAATAATGCGATGATTTTGGATGAAAGGACACCTCCTGGGGACACCTGCACAAAGCAGCTTTTTAAATAAGGAATGAAGTTGTTGGAGGTCTTAAATTTAAAGAAATTAAAATCATTTTCAAGGTTTAGTCTTGCCCACTACTCCTGCAATACTGGTCTAATGTAAAAACATCCATCCTCTAATCTAATTAGAGGTCTTGAACCTGAACGAATGCGTTTCTCCTCCTGGCATCCAAGCAGGGATCTTTCACAGGTATTACTTATTGTTACTTATTATTAAGGTTAATTGTGGTTATTTTTGTCTTCTTTCAGCTGCTCCCTTTAGGGGTCGCCACAGCACATCTGCCTCCATCTCACTCCATCTCTGGCTTCCTCCTCTGTCTCATTAGCCGTCTGCATGTCCTCCTTCACTACATCCGTGAACCTTTTTCTGTGGTCTTCCTCTTTTCCTCCTGCCTGGCAGTTTAGCACCCTCGCTTGTACCTTTCCTTCTTTTTCATTGCCTTCAAGCAGACCTTCCTTACTACTCCTCCTTTTTCTTTGCCCAGCAGTAGCACAATTTCCTCCAGCTGCCTGTCATTAACCCGGACCTTGACCGGGCCAGTACACAAAAAGCTCTCGTGATAATCTGCATATTTGATTTGCCAAATGCCGTTCCTGATGCAACCCTTAGCCTTTATTCGAGCTTGGGATCAGCACTTGCAGTAACCTGGCTTGTGGCCCACCGTGTCTGGCATTGGTATTCTTCTATTGTTGTATGAATGAGAAAGTGTGAGTGAACAGAGTTTCTACAACATCTACACATTTGTTTTTATCCCACACTGTGATCAAACTATAGTCAGACTATAGATGACCAACTTAATCTGCTACATAAACTCATTGTCTTAGGACAACTTTGCCATGAATTAGGATAAAAATGCAACTACAAATACCTGTGTTCAGCTCTACTGCTCGGCACATGGCTGCAGCAGAGCTGAGCTGCTGTCGCTTCTAAATGTGGTGAAGCTTAATGCCTGCTTTCAGCTTTTTGAACTCTTTAACTCTCCCTACTCAATACTCCAGAGTAAACAGACCAAGTGCTCACTTTGTGCTACTGATTAGCTGCGTTACAGTGATGTGACTTTTAAAATTAGAGTAAGCCAGCCTTTATTCTGTGAACTGTCCTAGTAATAATAGGGAGGAAAATGGAATATTAATTGTGGCCTCACGGCTAGAAGGTTCAGGGATTTGAACTTCCAACAGACTGGGTGGCGCCGCTCTGTGTTTTCTTTTAGCTCACTTTCTCCTACAGTCGAGCGGCTTACAGTTAACTGGTGACTTAAAGCTGGGTGTGAATATGAGCATGAATAGGTGTCTGTCTCTGTAGCTTACACAGCTAAAAAAACAAAACCACGGAAGTGCCAAAAACTACAGGTGCTCAAACAGTCGCTTCAGGCTAGCCAAAGCATTAAAATGCCCAAATCCAGCCATGAAGCTACCTTGGTTACATCCTGGTCTCTGCAGCCAATCTCTCCCATTATAACAGCTGTACGGGAGTGTGTGTTAATTTAATAACTCACCGACTTGGATTTCATTTGGATGTTTTTCATAACTCTGACTCCCAGCTGTGCCAGGATCAAGCAGCTGCAGCCAGCTGCTGTGTGCCAAACTTGTTCGTGCCCTTTGGCATATTTTTAATAGAACAATCCGCTGTGTGGTATTGAGTGTCCAACAACTGTATGCTTCATTTTTAGGGAGAAAAATTCTAGTATTTGGAACAAATTAGTAGTAAACACATTTAAACCCGCAGGTCTCACAATTCCCCAGCTTGGATAAACTGGAAAGTTACCTCAGGACATCCGGGCTAAAAGCTATACCAAATCAGCATGCATACTCAGACCCCTTGGGAAAAAGGGAGCGGCTCAAAGTACCCAATTAGTAATAATATGGAATTATATTTGTCTGGGAGGGTTGCACACAAATGGATGCAGCTTCCTAACCAAGCTTTTTAGAATTAGTGGAAAACAGTCCAGTCCAACCTCTCACGCAAAAATGAACACGTCCCACTGCAAAAGTGCTTCCCTCTGCTTATGATTTTTGTACTTGCTCTTGTTAAATTTCAAAAATATCCTTTTGTAATCACTTTACTTAATTAGTCTTGCTCTTAAATAATATTTGCAAGCCATTATTTTATCCTCTGGTGCTGTGTTTGCTCATTTTAACTTTGCCTAAATGTTGTTATGCAACTGCCACCTGAATGCGTCTGCTACGAATAAATATGTATTTAAAAACTGGGGAAGATGGGGGGAGTTTATGGGTTTAACTTGCCTCTTGCACAATGTCAGCTGGATAAAATTACTCCAGGCCAAACATGACAGATCACTCTAAAATATATTTGTGAAACTAACCACTGACACCAGTTTAAACGACCAAAACAAACACACGGAGGTGCAGGACATCCGGCGTTATTGAGCAGGACCTTTAAAAATGGTGCTTTCGGATTAAATGCTGAGTGCCGACAGTAATGAAGGTGTGGGTTAAAGGTCAGTGGTCCTGTACCTGTTCTTCAGAGCCGTGTCCGCCTGCGTGCCCGCACAGAGCAGCATGGACAGGGGAAACTGCTCCCTGCTGTCTCCATCTCCATCCCTTAAGATGTCGAAGCTCAGGCATGGAGCACCTGAACATAAACAACAAGGTAACTTAAGCCCAGAGATCCCACATGGTGGAAGCGTGAACTTCATTGGGAGTAATGATGACTTTAACTTGCCTGTCTGGCACTCGTGATACATGCGGTACGCGGAGCGGTCCATCTCCAGCTCCTCCCCGGGCTCAAGCGGCTCGATCCCGGGCACGTACACTTTCTTCTCCTCCTCTCCCTCTGCCCCTTCCTCTTCCATTTCCACCCCTTCGTCCTCATCGCTGCCTGCTTCGTCCATCTCCTCCATCTCGTTTTCCTCCACGGCGTGCTCACCGGGCGCAGACATCTTGGCAGAGGCACGGTGTGGCGTACTTCCGGTGCAGGCAGCGGCCACGTGGTTTAAACGCCGCTCACCCTCCTCACCAGCGGCGCCCCTCTCTCCCTGTTTACGGGAATTCAGCTGACCTCTTTGGCAAAAGAGCCCCTGTTGCCAGGAAAGACCAGGCTTGCAATTGTTTGTCTCACACTGTAAGCCCTGAGGATCACGTGAACATTATTACCGTGGACACTGTTAGCGTTAGCTACATGGCAAATGTTCTGTCTCCTCCCTGGAAGATAATTAGCCTTTTGCTTAAGAACATTTGGGATCGTGTCCATGCACCGATCAGTAAAGAGTCTTCACCTCTGAGTCATGATTGTGTGATTTAATGAGATTTATTTGAATGTGCTGTACTACATCTTACGCAGCACAGCCTGGTACTGAGAGGGGGCTCAGCAGCCCCTGCACCACTAATGGGAAGTCAGGCTTTGACTCACAGCTACTCACTGGCAATAATTTATAGATAGTTTTGCACTGACTCTATCAGGGTGTTGGGAAACTGCCATAAAAGCTGCTATGCTAAATTCATAAGAATACTTGGGCAATTTCTCTTATACACGTTTGTCTAAGCATGTGTTTCTTTCTTTTACATTTGTGTTTGAATTTCATTATTAAAATTGTGCCAGAGATTCTCTTGAAACCTTCTCTGCTCTTTTAACAAACACTCACATTTAAGAGATTGTGAAACTACTCGGGGGGTTCTGTCAGGACGAAGGTGTTTCTTTCACGTGTAGCTGAGTACAAGTAGAGACAAGTGCTCTTTTATTACTCATCGAGGTCTTTGACAAGAGCCTTAACATCCCGGGCTGTTCCACCACACATTCCTCTGTCATCTGCAACTGATCTCTTAGACTTTTTAGTTATTTAATTTTTTTTTAAACTAAAGCTGCAGAATATATTTGAAGAGTTTCCACACAAAGGCTGCCTCTTTACAAGAGAATCTACGGTTGAGTTCACACGAATGCAGACTCTTGCAGTTGGAATGCAAGATTAAACACAAAATGTAATCTCTTAAAAGCAGCAGGGAGAAAACTGTAAACATATAACTCCGACTGATTAAATACTTTGCTGCTGCAAATAGCAGCACCACACTGCAAAGTTACAAATGCAAATTGGGCAAGAATTGTACCTGTGATTGCTCTGCAACTGTAGTTTTATTAATGTCATAAGTTAGTGCTGATCATAGGCTACAGTATCATTATGCAGGCATTACAGCTGTAATTGGCAGTGCACTGATTTTAACAACTTCATAAACTGTTGAGTTTTTCAGTGTGCCACAGTGCATAATCATTTTTTACAAATGTGGAGAGAAATGACAGTATTTACCTCTAAAATGTGGCGTAAAAGTGTATTTAAATGGAAAAAAAAAATTAAATATGTATATCCCAACACTTAAGCACATTTACTTAAGTAGCCTAACTGTAAATGTACATTCAAAATACTGTAATAAATATAACACAGACTTTGGATACTGGCAAGTTACACCAAAAGCTAACGATGCATATATCTAAATGTCTTTAATTTATTTTTCTGTACAAAAGTAAATACATATACATCCATTTGTAAACAGTGGCAGGCAATGCCCATTAGCAAGAAGAACATAAACCATAGATAGCTTGCTCTAAATAGTGATGCTATTGGATTACATCTGCGATATCACCTCTTACAGAGTGCTGTTGGACGGCGAGACTGGTGGTTTGCTCTAATTTTGTGCATCAGATGTAACACTTGAGTTTCACAAAGCTTACCACACCGAAACACAAAGACAAAAACTTAAGAAAACAGTCATCAGTGCCTATAAAGATATATATAAGACCCTTTTTGACAACTATGGTAGCAAACACCAGTAGAGTCTTAATAATAAGGAGCTCCAAACAAATGCAGAATATGATGGGGGAACCCCACTGGACAGTGGTGGTGTGTCTATAATCCTGCCAGATTTCATATTGTCTACCGCTCTAGTGGTTAAAAGTCTGGCCCTTGATGGGCTGTAGTCCTTCCTTTCAACAGACGGTGGCAAGTTGGGCAGGGTGCATGTTTCAATTGAAGGTGGGCACCCAATTTGAATCCACCGGCTAAAAAGTTCTGATGTTAACTTTAGGAGTTCTTCTGGAGAGGAAGACACCAAGGAGAACTGGGATAAGTCTGTCTCCTCCTGAAACATCTGCAGCAAGGAAACAAGGAAGAGAGATCAGTATTATCAAGACAACAAATCTGACTAACAAAGTCATGTTTGAAACAGCTACTTGATACTGAAGCGAGCAATGTCACGACAAGAAAAAGAGAATACGTACTTCCATGTTTCTGTTCTTGCTAATAATTTTATCCAGTGTCCGTGTAAGTTCCACAACAAGAGAGTGATTTAAGTGTTCCTCCCAGAGGTTTGTCAGGAGCACTTGCCAAGAATCATGGAGGACATACGCAGCAGGGAACACGCAACACTGCGAGGAAAAACAGAGCAACACAACAACCCCAAAATTAGGACTAGCATGTAAAACACATGACAAATCACCGCAAGAACCACACAAGTAACCGTGTTACGAGAGAGGCTGGAGGCCACTTGGGACAACAGACTGTTATTAAACAGAACATGTGACTTGTTATAGTGGAAGACGACCAAAGAAAAAAAGCAAATAATTATTCTCTTTAAAAAAAAACCCAAGTGGGCTTCAGGAGAAGGTTAAAATGAACAGGATATATAAGATCTATATGAGCACTTCCTATATAAACAACTCACCGGATCGGTGTCACAGAGCATGTGTCTTGTATATCGATGCACCACATAGTAATCCTTAGGAAACACTGTGCGCTGAAGGAGGGAGAAAAGAGGCAAAGATGAGAAGCCAGATACCCAGAAGGACCACAGAGGTCTATATGGGCATAGAAGTAAATATTTAGAAACGAAGTAAAGAGAGTTTCACTTACAAAGCCTGCTGAACTCGAATCGATGGTCCCTTTGATATTTTTCACACCTTCCAGGTCAAACTCACATCCACCACATGGGGCAGTTAGTAATGACAGCAACAGTAGAACTGTTGGAGACATGATAAGAGCGAAAGCCACAGAAAACAAGTCACATAATTGCTGGAAACTTTCTGTGGTTTGTAGCTTGTTCAAAGTGCATAGCTACTAAAAAGAACATGACATCATTTCCTGTGTAAATTAGCCATTTCTTTCTTTTAAAAAAAAAAGAAAACAGCAGGAGACACTGGGCTACGATTGCAACATCTCTAATTTAATTAGGGCACCAGAAATGGCTGTGATGTTTCAAAGTGGTGCAAAAAAACCAACTTTGATTCACCATTTAAATCTCACTATGCATTAACCAGGACTGCTGTTTCACTATAATCCCACAGACATTTAAAAAGGGTGAAAAACAGACAAAAATTTAACATGAAAATAATAGTTTCTCACCTCGCAGTGTCATCGTTTTATCTTGACTGCATGTCCATTTCTCTTGTTGACAGCAGTGACTCTGCAGGCAAGCTTCACTGTCACTCTGTAAAAGGCGAAGCTTCCTCCTGTGGTTTTTTTACAGGTCTTTGAAAGAGCAGGCTTCTGTCTCTTCTTCTTTACTGCTTGATATTTAGTCTTCCTGTTCACATCCCTCAGATCATCCCCTTCTCTTTACTTAGGGTCCTTTGGTACTTTCCATGCACATGCCCCACTTGTCACCTCACATCGACATGCTCTCTCACTTTGGGTTTTCCCACTTGAAGCCAGGGTGGCTGCAGCCTTTCACTTTGAAAGCCTTGTTTTTCTATTTCCCTTTCTAAATCTTTTCTCCTTTCCCTTTCTCACTACTGACCTAGAATTTTCCTTGCCACTCTGTCTCTGTCCCTTAAAAGTGGTTAATGAATAAAGTGCCAGAGCTGACCTCTTCCCCTGGATTTCTCCCTATCCCTCTGTATCCTACTCAGACACAGGCACAGCTCAAAGTGAAAGTGCTCCGCTCAATTCTCCCTTTATGCGTCGGCCACTCCCACAGGCACACGTTTTACCTCACTATTGACTGACCCGTCTCCCTCCCTTCTGCTTCCCACATTCCCCAACACCCCCCCACCCCCATCCTCCCGCTCCCACCCCCATCCTCCCGCTCCCAACCAGGGCCGAAGAGGCTTAGTTATGCAGTCAGAGCATATGTTTTTCATTTGGATTCTTCCCCACACCTCTCTGCCTGTTGATTCTATCAGTCGCTGTCCCGTAAGTCAGTGCGCAGTATCATCCCATTAAGTCATTCATTAACAGTCAGTTTCTTTTAGAAATAAGGATCACATTCATTACATTCCTCGAAGAGCTAACGAGAAAGATTGCAACACTGAATTGCCAGAAGATGCAAGTCATCCCAACATGACTGCTTTCTTTAGTCATTAATGTTAAAATTGGCTTTACAGAGTTGTATGGTATGATTGTGATGATAGCTGTGCACAGCTGTCATCATCCTGTCTGTAAAGTGTTGTTTTGTGGCCTCAGGTTACGCAAAGCATCACGTTGGTTTGGGATATCAGTCAGATGTCAACAGGAGTTGATTAATGATGAAAGGAAGGAAGTCGTTATTCTTCATGTTTGTTGGATCATAAGCCAAAGGACAGAGGAAAATTTCCCAGAGAGGTATCTCTACTGACAGGAAAAGGAAACCAGACAGCCGCAGCAAGCGAGGGCTCCATATTCCCCAAGGCATGACTAAATCAAAACCTCTTTACTTATGCTACGTTTATAATGATAGATATAAATATCTAGTCAGAGTGCCGTCTTCCTGGTTCATACTGCATTTAAAATTCAGAGGGAAGTAAATACGCAGAAAATTTGTGAAGCTGCTGCAGATGAAGTCCACACATGTCGGAGCCTAACTCAACAAATGAAATCCAGATTTAATAAAAACAAAAGAAGTGCATTCCTTTAAATAGGAAAAAAAAACTAGTCACTCCAATATATGCAAACTCACTTTTTCCTTCATAATTAGGACTAAAACACAAGTTTGAAACTTAAAATTTTGGGGTCATGAAATTTTTTTTCGAAAACATCCTCCAACTTAAATAAAGCCACATTTTACTGAGTAAAGTCTGCGAGCTTCAGCACATCAACAGGCTCATATAACTGGCATGGAAAAAACAAAAAAAGCAGATCAGAGTGACTGGTTCATTAAAAACCCCCAAATCCTGCCGATGTGGTCATCTGTCCCGGGTCCTTGTTATGCAACACTTTTTGTATGTTTCAGGACTTGGGGGAAAATTTTTTTTTTTAAAGTGCTGTCTTACACCACTTAAAGCTGAAGACCTTCAAACGAGTGGGAGGTGATGGAGAAACAAAAGGTTTCCACCTCCGCTTCACTTTCCCTCCCATTTTCTTTCTATTCACCACAAGGTGGAGCCAACCATGGGTCGAGAAAGGATGTCAGGCTCAAAGTTTACATTGGTTTTATTTTATTTTAAAACATCAGCAGGAGTAAACAAAGTGCAAAGTCTTTTTTTGTAATAAGCTAAGCTTTACATATCTGTATAAAAAGGTCTCCTATAAGAGTTCCCTTTGACAAATAAAAGCCCTCATGCATTATCCAAACTGATTCTACTTGTTTAGTGAGCAAGATAATCATCATCGTTAGATACACAACAGTTACTGAAAACAACCATAATTGACGAGCGAAACCCTTTGTGTCATCCGTTCACAGTCCTGTCATTAAATGACAAGAATGTGGGTAAGAAAACCCCCCAAAACTAAACAAATTAATAAAAATAAAACAAAACAAAACAAGGGGAACGTCAAAGAAATGGCATTCCCCCTCATTTCAGCTCCCCTTTCTTTATCCTAATCTCCTCCTCCTCCTCTTCTTTGTCACTGGCTGGGGCTCCTCTCCCCTCCTCGGACAGCTGTCATTAAATGGCTCTTGTATGTTTTGCTAAGTCCAGTCATCCAGTACTTGAGCAGCCTGACGTTGTCCTCTTCCCCGGGCCCCGTAGCACCGAGGAGTGCCAGAACCTTCTGCGTGTCCTCTCTTCCTCGACCGTCCACTTTGGAGAACTTGAACAGCACTTTGACTTTACTGAAAAAACAAATAGATCACACTTAAGACTAATTATGCCTTCCTGAAGAAGACAGAATTCGGAAACACCAAGTTTCCGGTGGGAATCTTTGTGTGGAACGCCCTCTCAATAAGACTTCCCACTTGGAAATATCCTAAGTTAGCAATCCAAGATGGCAGTACTGAATGTAAACAACAGTAAAATTATAAACTTTTAATCTGTACTGCAAGTGTTGTGTGTTTTTGACTCATTAAATAGTGAGCAGTGATCGAGCTCTATCCATTAATGTGTTTTTCCCTGTTTCTCCCTGAATGGCTCTACCTTAATGAGAACCTAAACAAATTCTGTTTTTGCTGGCTTTTTGTAAAATGCGCTGTTCCGACATCCGAGTTCTGAAGTATCTGGAACGTGGCATAAAGGAGCTTTACTCACTTCATCCACTCCTCCTTCAAACACAGCAGGCAGTGAGACACAACATCCACCGACAGGTTCTCATTGCACAGAGCGACCTCCAGCTTGTTCAGTAATGCTGGACCTGGAGAAAGAGGACAAAGATTTAGTCAGTGGAAGAACCATGTGGGAAAGTTGAGAAAAAAAAAAAGAAAAAGAGTCAAGCAAAAAAAAAAATTAAAAACTCTTAGTAGGTGATTGGTTGAACTATTTGTGTATAACCGTCTGCTGTGAGAAAACATCAACAAATCAGACTGATGAACCACAGGATGCAGAGAGCGCGAAAAGGAAAAACAGGCCGCGGTCTGAGTAGCTTTATGAGCTTGCAAGCAGTCGCTGCAACCAGCTACGCAGCAAATGTTTTGCTGTTTACTCGAACGGTTACTCATTCTCATGTTTTAAGTTTCTGTAGCTTTGAAGTTTATAATTTGGATTTAGTTTTTGACCCTTTCTCAGGTATGCTGGTATGTTTGTTGCTTTTGTGTATTCTGCTGTGTGTGTGTGTGTGTGTGTGTGTGTTCCTATATAGTCAGAACCCTTTAAAGGAGGGGTGTCAAACTCGTTTCACAATGCGGGCGACATACAGCCTAGTTTGATCTTAAACTCCCCTCTCTGTCAGCGCAAAGAAGTTTAACTTCACATTTAATCCTGGTATATGTTGGTATAAGTTTTTTGACATGATAAAGTAATGGGGCCCTATTTTTGTAAAGGAATCTAGTGTTAAGAAAAAAAGGCTAGAAATTTCTATAATAGATAGTGATTAATGGGAACTTTTTTCATTTATGTTTTACTGAATTATAGGAATTTATTAGTAGGAATTGCTGTAAAAAACGATGTTCGGTGCACCTGTAAAACCTAAAACACACCTGTAGCCGTGACCTTCTGACTCTAAGTTCATCACAGAGCTCTGATTTGCCCAGAACCAGTTTGGTTTGTCTGCTGGCACAAAGTCTGAAGACGTGTGAGATGGATTCTCTGATATATATATATTCTGTGGAAACAACTAGTTTCTGTTTTCGATGCAAAGTCTTCTTTTTTTTTTTAATGGATTCCTTAACGCTCTTGCTGTGCTTGAGCATTTTTCTACTTTCACTTTAACAGCTGCTCTGACTTAAACAAGGGTTAATGAATCAGGAGGGGAAAAAAAATCTGTCCTTTTCACTGATACAGAGTCAGATGATGATAAATGTAAATTTGTAATCTCTATAAATAGATTCTACATATAAAGACGTCTATTTGTAATCTGCTTTTAGTCCAAATGGTATCGACCAATTAGGCTAGAGCAGGCTGGGGTTACATGGCTGTAAGCTTTCTGTGTGAAGAGCAAAGGAAGGATGGCATTTGTCAAGATGGAAACCTGAAAACATCGGCTGCCGTAGAAAATGAAGCTTTTTATTATCGGTCTTTTAATTTACCTGACTTTTTGTAAAGAATGAGCAAAAAGCACAGAAAGAAAGCAACGAACAGAAAAACGCCGACTACACAGGAAGCCGTGAAAAAAACCTTTGGCCTCAGAGGATTAATCAGCAGACAAGCCGATGGGTTCCCAGACTGTAAATTGTGTAACGCTAACAGAGGCAACAAACATGCAGCAAATTAAATCAAGACCGATGTACTCACCCCTGTCTATAGGTTGTGTGTTGGCACTGGTGATGGTGAACTGATAAAGCGAGCTGATGTCGTCTTCTCTTACAGCTGGCATGTGACAGCTTCTCTCTGAGGTGACGTCCACGAGCACTGTAAACTCTGAAGAGCAAATCGAAGCAAAATTATTACAGTTTAATCTGCAAATACACATCTACAGTTTTTGACAGAGAATCTCACACAGCGATCAACAAATCTCAAAGAGCTTCTTGCACCTGAGGAGCTGACGTGAGCTGGAATAGGCACATCGGGGCAGAGACCCAGAAAGTTGCACTTGTAGGCCTCCTCGTACTGAGAGCTGTATGGCACGGAGCGCACACAGCCTACCGGGAGCAAAGACTAATGGGAAAATAGAGAAGTGAGTTAATGGCCGTGATGATACACTGTTTGATCTGGCTAACATTCACACAGCCTCGCTGTCTCTGCTTACTCATTAATGCTATAAGTGATGCTTTTCTGACAACTACTAAAGAACTGTGGTAAAGTAACACAAACATTACAGTATGAACTTGTCTTAAAATTATATACTGATAACATTAAAAATTTATCTTTCAAGTATTCAAATGAAAAATAACCACAAAGAAAACCCCAGGAGAGCATGTAGTCGCAAAAGAAAAGGTCAAAACTGTGCAATAACAACAGCATTACACCCTCACACAAATAGTAGGTGCGCTCCCCTGCCCCAAAAGTTCATGTTTACCCATATTATAATACAACGCTCTATCTACAAAGGCCACACCACTGGAGCAGAGTACCTTTAGCACTGTAAAAGCTGACTGGATGAGAACTGGATCTGCACCTCTCCATATGACCTGATTTCCCATGAGCACGTGCCAGGCTAGCTGTCGAAAGTCAGGAGCCCCGAGGACCTGCCGAACGAACCACAATGTTTACCAAGCAACAGCTCACAGATATAGTGTATGAGCTATTTTTTTTAACCAATATGCATCACTTTACCATATAAATGATTGTAAAAACACGTATTTTTCTTTATTCAATCTCAGTTTTCTATTGCTGTTCATGATTAAGTTGGGTATACATTAGCAAACTACAAATGTGCTTAAGTTCACCTGTCTCAAATGCCTCAGTGACCTAAATTTTGGACCAGGTAATTCATCCAGTTTTGTATCATCGCTCAGGAAGTTGTGGGCCAGCTCGGTCTCTGACAGGTGTCTCTGCGTCTTTGAAGCACCTCCTTCTGCTCCCTCCCAGCAGCTCATTTCCTCCTCTTGCTCTTTAAAACACATGACATTAAAAAACAGAAAAAGCAAATGCTTTCAAGCAAAGGTTCATTACAAATGTGGGGAATTTCCGTAGGAAACTGTGATAAACGGCGGTTCATACACCACACGAGTCATACCTACACAACTATCATCATAGTGCACACATGAGGATAGCTACCCACTGTTTCCAAAACAAAAAAAACAGACTCTGTTAGTAACACCTATGACCTGCACTGCATAGCGACCACATTACTAAGTACAGTGTTTCAACTACTTGGTAACACAAATATCCGGCCAACTCACATGATAGCAACCCTGTTCATTTATTCATGTAGTCATGGTCAACATGACCTGCTGACGTTTAAAGTGATCATCATAATGGGGAAGAAAGGTGATTTATGAGACTTTCAATGTTGCATGGTGGGCTGTGGCCTGATCTTAGCAGTTCAGAAACTGCTGATGTTCCCACACAACCACACAGAGTTTACAGAGAATGGAAAAAAAAGAAGAAAATACCCAGTAAAGAAAAAAGAAAAAAAAAAGAGAAAAGAAAATATACAGTAAGGAGCAGTTCTCTAGGTGAAAATGCCTTGTTGACATCAGAGGAGAATCACCAAAACTGGACAACTTCCAATTGGAAACTTGGAAAAATACTGCCTAGTGATGAGTCTCACTTTCCGCTGCAAATTCAGATAGTAGGGTCAGAATAAATAACATGAATCCATCCTGTCTTTCATCAACAGTTCAGGCAGCTGCTTGTGGTTTGGCCCACATTTTTTGGACTTCTTAGTACCAATAAAGAACCATTTAATTGCCACAGCTAAGATTGGTATTGTTTACTTATTGTTATAAATGCATTGTCATAAATCTGAAGATACTGTGTGATGTTGTCATGTCATTATGAACCAAAATCTCTGAGGAATGATTCCAGCACCTTGATGAATCTTTGTCACAAATAATTAAAGCACTTCTAAAGGTAAAACAGGACTCAACCATCTCCTAGCAAAGTCTATGTAATGAGTGTCCATTTGGTGTATAAATGAACAGATTCTTGGTCAAATGACCCAGAATAGGATTTAAAATTACAGAGCTAATACTGTCAGAGAAAGTTTCACTGTAAATGTTGGGTTTCTTTTTTTGTACATGATATTACTGAATACTGACTGGAATTGTGTAAACTCTCTGGAAAGTTGGGATGCTTTAGTGAATCACTGTTTTTCTGGCGTCTCTCCACAGACTCATCTGGTGATTCACACTTTCATCAGAGCTTTCTCAGTCAGATGATAACAACCATAAGCATGTTGTTCAAACTAATGACATGCTGTCATGAGTTTAGGTTAATTTAGGAACAAAATGAACCTAACCACATCTAAAAGAAGTGGTTTTTAAACTTTTTCACACACGTTCCACTTCAGAAGCTGAGTCAAGGTGACACTGCACATTTTTTTTTTAAACCAGTCATCAACAAGAAAAAAAGATGCACGTTGAATTTTGTTTAAAAGCTTCAGCAATTTACATCAGAAATCTCCTTTTCGCCTATTTTCCTTTTAAATGCATTTTTTTCAACTTCATATTTTTCATCTG